CACTCATGCACACTTCTATGCAATGTGAATTGCTACACAATCTATGTCGAAGTACATGCGTACGTATGTATTTGTCGGTGGGTGATTGGGTGGATGGGCATTTGTTTGGTTCCTTCAGTACACAATAGTGAGGTTTTTCGCCAGCCATTGTGTTTGAATTGCATAGAAGAAAGCATTTTTGGGTGGCATGCCACCATGGTTGCGGAGGAGGTTATTCCGGCTAGTTGGCGCAATGGTATTTGAGTTATTACAACAATTGCTCCCAAAGGCCACATTACGAAATGAGAAAGAGTATGAGAAGATGTGTGTGTGTGCATTTTCAGAGTAGATTTACCCTGAGTCGGGGAATCATGGGGTGCTAATACATGTTATGCGTTTATAATTGATTGTGTTGGCGACAAAAGGTGCACCCTGAACATCACTTAGATGTGACGGAGGGTAAGAATTTTAATTAAATTATTTGCCAACGAGTATGTGCATGCCCAAACTATGTACAGATATTTGTGCAATAATATTTGTCTGTGGATTTGGGGATTTTCGTACATTTGAGACATGGAAGTGGAAATCGCAATTTGGGGGAAATTTGTATTATGTATACAGAACGTTGAGTTGTAAAATTCTTATCCTGCAGAAGTAATAATTTGTCAGCAGAAAGATGATCAAAATTTACGAACAAATAGTTTAATGAGCTATAATTTTAATTAGTGCAATGGTTAGTACAAAACACCGATCTAAAACGGACCCATCCAATTTAGACAACTTTTGGCAGCGGATGACTTTTGAGAAGAGGTTACAAGAAAAGGTTACAATTTTTTGGAGAATTTGCCGCCCAGTGAGAACCAAACTTCAAGATACCAAACACAGATGATGTTATTTCATAGGGGCTAAATCAAAACGTTGACGAATATTTTGGTAGAAAGAATAATTGCGTAACCCTTTTTAGGGAACTACTCCACAATGTAAGCCAATATTAATAATTTTGAATAGGGAGTTTGTCTAATAATTTTCCAATCAGAATCTAAAATAAACAAGTGAAAAGCGAAAATTGGGGGGTACCCTTATATGGGAGCTATGCCTAAACGTGGACCGATAAAGCCCATCTTCGAACTTGACCTGCCTGCAGACAAAAGACGACTTTATGCAAAATTTTGGCCATCTATACCCATTCGTTTAGACGCTAGAGTGTTATAACAAACAGACAGACGGACGTGGCTATATCGTCATAGAACGCTGATCAAGAATATATATATATATATGTATATATATATATACTTTATAGGTTCGGAAATGATTATTTCGATGAGTTACAAACGGAAAAGCAAAATTAATATACCCTTCATACTATGGTGGTGGGTATAAAAAGATAATTTGGTTGATAAAAATGTATAAACTTCCCTACGCTAAAAAATCAATTTGCTAACTAATGACAACCCAAAATACAGAATTGCACCGGCTACCGGCTATATTTGGAACAGATATAACCCATTCTATACAGTTGAATCATGACTTGTTTTCGGACACTTTGAAATGTAGCGATAGGAATCGGTTCTAGATTCGTAGACCAGTGAATATATCCTTTTACCATATTTCCTTATGTAAAAACATGTGCCTATATAAATTATTTATTGCGCTGAAGATATAACCCCATTAATAACCTTGAATTCTAAATTAGGTAGGACTATATAAAACCAGTAAGGAAAGTAGTAAAGTCGGACGGGGCCGACTATATTATACCCTTCACCACGATGGGTATATTAAACAGGACTATTAACATGGAAATGGATGAAATAAAATATGTGATATTTATCTAAATGTGAATCTACCTAGATCTATCTATAAAGTATGTAAATCGACTTCAATCAAATATAAATAGGTTATTCGTTGGGCTATGTCTGTACTAGAAAACGCAACTACGTAATTCTATGCTCAATTTTGTACGTTGTGCAAAATTTGTTTTCAATCTGACTAACATGAGAATTTTGATGCCCAATTTACTTGAAATCGGGCGAAAATATATATGGAAGCTCTATCCAAATAGTAAACGATTTCAAACAAACTTGTCACAGGTTAGGCTATACTAATTTCAGAACGTTTTGTTCCTATCAGCCTATTGGTTCCTTGGTGCGTCAATTACTTAAAATCAATCTATAATAAAAGGGAGCGAAACTTGGCAGACATCACTCTAGGCTCAATTCAGTACGTTATGCCAAATTTCGTCCAAATCGAAGTATATATGGGGCTGTGGTGCACCATTTACGTGAAATCGGACGAAACTATATATGGGAGCTATATTTAAATCTTGACCGATTTTCACGAAACTTGGCACACATCAGTCTGGACTAAATTTAGTACGCTATACCAAATTTCGTCAAATCGAAAGCTATTTAGGGACTTTGGTGCACCATTTACATTAAATCGGACGAAAATATATTTGGGAGCTACATCAAATCTGAACCGATTTTTCTCAATTTCAATAGGGTTCGTCCTTGGGCCAAATGAATGAGCTGTGCCAAATTTCATCCAATTCGAATAATAAATGCGGCCTGTACATTGTTTACAATTTAACATGGACAGACGGACGGACAGGCGGACTTGCGTAAATCGACTTAGAAAATGATTCTATGCATATTCTCAAAAGGAACCATGGGTCTATCCTCGATACAAACATATGCACAAAGACATAATACCCTGTACCACAGTGTGGTGAAGGGTGTAAAAAGGGCTTTATAAGGGGAATACCCTTAAAAATGAATATTAATAATTTTTGGTTGGGAGATTTGTTTGGATATACGACTACAAAATACCAAATGTCAGCGAATTCGGTTAAAAAAAAAACGCGGCCAAGAACCACAAAATATCGAAAATTGGGAGTTACCCTTATATGGGGGCTAACCGAAAAAATTGGCCTATATTTATAATTTTTTGTGGAGAGATTTACTACCCAATAATAACTGAAATTGGGAGGTACCCTTATATGGGGACTAACAGAAAAAGTGGACCTATATTTATAATTTTCAATATACCTAACTACAGCCAATTCGGTTTTACATAATATTGAAACCGTTGTATTGGGGGTTATCATAAAAATGGACCCAATATTCATAATATTTGTTGGGAAGATATGATACCTAGAAGATGTACTACCAAATCTGAAAAATACGGAATATTTGAAAATTGGACAAATATTGATAACACAAGAAAAGATAACACAACATCGAGGTCATTGTCCGGGGTGGAATATTCATATTGGGGATACACACCTAAAAGTTTATAAGCAAGATGTTTGTAAATTATTGCGAGGATTGAAATCGCGTATTCTGATAATTCAATAAATTAAGTACGGAAATAATACACAAAGAATCCTGTTAAAAGGACAAAATTCTCTACAACAAGATGTCTCGTGAGTTTTTTACTGAATAAATGAAATCTCAATACATACAATATCTTCAAATCAATACATGCATCAATCTGTTCATGTATAATAGGGTTGCCATCAAATAAATTAAGACCTTTCACCCCCAAAATCTTGAAGAATACTGCAATTTTTGCTAGGAAAATGTATTACCCAAATTACAGACTAAAATCCGCAATATACTGAATATTTGGGGGTACCATTATGAGGGCTACAATTCACGTGGATATATATATATATATATATCACATTTTCAATACCAAACATTCTATGAGTATTAGCAGGTTATTTACAAACGTTCAAAGCTCTATCTTAAATATTATAGCTGTATTGTGAATTCTAGAGATGAATATGGCTAAATTGACGTAGAATTCTATTCTGATCAAAAAAATTTTTACTTGAATAGAACAAGATGGATGGGAGAATGAAGATATATTAATATCAATATTCTGCAAAATTCGAAATAATCAACCCTTGTTTTATAATTTTATTCCATAAGCAATAACAATTGATTTAAATAACAATATTCGTTTTGTTTTGAAATTTCAATTCAATTTAAAATGTTAGTTTTTTTTTGTAAAAATAATTTAATGAAATAGCATCCGCAATACTTACGGCCAGCTGTGGTAGTTTGCCTTGATTTCTTTTACTTTTTTGCTGTGTTGTGGGGAAAAACTAAACTGGACAAATGTTACACTCCAATGGCGCAAATAGTTGTGATTTATGATGGAATACAATACAAAAACACCACAACAACAACAATAATGGCAACAGCAAAATACATGTTGTTGTTTTGTCAGCTATAAATGTCATTGAACAGAAAATATGATTTCACTCCCACTAACACCTCCTCATATACCCTAAACACTCACACATACAATAAAAAAAATTATTTTATTTATGAGAGAAAAAATATTTTTTTGAAAAAAAAGAAAACAACACTTATAAAGATTTATCGAAAGCCAGCAGAGAAGAAAATTGCCCAGAATACTTCTGATATTATGGACGGGTGGCCAACCATATGCTGACAACAAAAACAAAAAGAAAAAAATACTCATTTAAGCATTTGTATTGCAATATCTTAATAACATTATTTGAGCATTCCATTAGTAGTTAGTTGTATAAGTAGAAACACTTATATACATACAATATTTTCTTATTAAATTAAGCAATAAATTAATACTTTTTGTATATGCATTTGTATTAGTTATCTAATATCGTTGTTTCTGTCTTTCTTCTTAATTCTTATGCTGACCTTTCGAAGTTAATGGAGACATGAATCACCAGGCATCAACGTGTGGCAAAATCCTGATATTCCTATCGGTGTGTCTGGTCATATTGACATTACCCTTCAGTTTGTTTGTATGTTTTAAGGTAAATATGAAATGTTTTCTGTTTTTGTTTATTTTTTTATTCTTTCAGGAAAATTCAACAAGAAAAGTAATTACTTATAAAACAATTCGTATCAATTAATGGACGGGAAAAATACGGTCGAAACTTTGCAATAAGTTAAAGTTTAAATTTTGTTCCAAAACCAGTGAGCGGAGCAGTATGGTCAGACGGGGCCGACCATATGATACCCTACACTACTTCTACGAATATCTAACATTGTGTGGTTCTATATTCTGGGCTTGGACAATATATCGCGATATTTTCACCATCTTGACCGACTAGATGTCAACAAATATTACTAATATTCATATTCGCTTCTAATTACTTATCCAGATTCCCTTCAGCGTATTCGCCTTTTAATGTGGCCTGTAGGTCGACTCGAAAAAACACAAAAAAACAGTAAGAAAAGTAGTAAAGTCGGACAGGCCGACTATATGAAACCCTTCACCACTTTGGGTATATTCAACAGATGCATTCTAACATAACATGATATTGACCATATTTTTGGTCCTTGGTGTATGATTTACTTAAAATAGGAGGAATATATATACATATATAGAAGCTATATCCAAATTTGAACCGATTTGAACGAAACTTTCCACACATTAGACTATACTAACTTCACTACGTTGTGCACAATTTTGTGAACCGCGAACCGATTTTCACGAAACTTAATACATATCACTCTAGACTTAATTCAATACGATATGCCAAATTTCGTGCAAATCGAAAGTTATATAGGGGCTTTGGTGCACCATTTACATAAAATCGTACGAAGATATATGTGAGAGCTACATCGAAATCTGTACCGATTTTCCCGAAACTTACCACTCATCATTCTAGACTCAATTCAGTACCCTGTGCCAAATTTCGTACAAATCGAAGGATATAAAGGGACTTTGGTGCACTATTTTCCTAAGATCGAACGAAAATATATATGGGAGCTATATCTAAATCTCAACCGATTTTCACGAAACGTAAAACACATCATTCTAGACCGAATTCATTACGCTATGCCAAATTTCGTGCAAATCGAAAGATATAAATGGGGACTTTGGTACACCATTTACATTAAATCGGACGAAAATATATATGGGAGCTATATTTAAATCTGGCCGATTTTCAGGAAACACATCGTTCTAGACCTATTCCATTTTGCACGAAATTTAGCACACGTCATTCTACATTTTATTCAGTACGCTGTGCCAAAATTCGTGTAAATCTAATAATTTTCAGGGACTTTGGTGCACCATTTACCTAAAATAGGACGAAAATTTATATGGGAGCTATATCTAAATCTGAACCGATTTTCTCCAATTTCAATAGGCCAAACGAATGGGCTGTGCCAAATTTCATCCAATTCGGATCATAAATGCGACCTGTACTTTGCTAACAAAAATACATGGACGGACAGACGGACGGACAGACGGACATGCATAAATCGACTCAGACATGCATAAATCAACGGACATGCATAAATCAACTCAAAATTCTATACATATTCTCAAAAGGAACCATGTGTCTATCTCGATTCCTTTTGTCTGTTACAATCATATGCACAAAGACATAATACCCTGTATAACCTTGACACGGATGAATTTAATTCGTAGATGCAATTTCGCAACAATAGTCGACATAAATACAACATATCAAGTAAAGACATTTGTAAGCCACATTGGCCAATATGCCTGATGAGCCGGTTAACCAACGGCGAAACGCGTCGCATAGTGGTGGGAATGTAGTATTTCTCTGGCTTTCATTTTCATTGCATCTCCGATCATGTAGCTCATCTCATCAAAACTATAAAAATTATAATGTAGAATGTATCTGACGGAGTGGTTGTAGTATGTTGTATATACCAAACTATTATGCAGTGTTGCTGTAATTTGGTATTTTTGGTTCTCACGGAATAAGGCATATCCGTACCAAAATTTATTAATATTGACCCAAGATTCAGGACAGCCCCATATAACGGTACCACCAATATTGAGTATTTTGGACACGTACTCCAACCGAATTGTAATTTGGAATTGTGGTTTCTCATTGTATAGTACATCTTCGTACCAAAATTTATTAATATTGACCTAAGTTTCAGGGTAGCTCCCATATTGGAGGAATTTTTGACACATTTTTCATTCAAATTGTCGGCTATTTGGTATTTTATGTTCTTATAGCAGTACCACCAGGATTATAGCAGTACCTTTAGGATTAAACATATACGCCATAGAATCCAAATTTTGTAATTTTTCACACAAAAGCCAGGGTCCATTTGACACGCTAAATATTGACCGATCTTTATCAATTTTTATTCATGCTTTTTTTCGGCCCGATCCCCTTCTCCATGTAAAATTTCACGATATTCGGGCCGACCAAAATTTAGGGTCCATTTCATCCCCTAAATTTTAACCGATCTTTATCAAAAACAATAGGGATCTTCATTGGCCAGAACCCATCTTACATGCAAAATTTCGTGAAGATTGATCCATAACTGTGGCCTGTATCGTGCTTACAAATTATAATGGACAGACGGACGGACACGCATGTCTAGATTGACTTAAAATGTCTAGATCGACTTAAAATGTCTAGATCGACTTAAAAGTGGGTCTAGGACCAATATTTCGAGGCGTTACAAACTTTTGGGGCTGCACAAAGCTATAATACCCTGACAACATAGTTGTGTAGGATATAATAAGGGAGTTATATGGGGACTACCCCAAAAAGAGCACGGATATTAATAATTTTTGGTAAGGAGGTTTGTTACCAAATACGACTACAAAATATCAAATTGCAGCAAATTTGATTGAAAAACGCGCTCAAGAACCCCAAAATACCGAAAATTGGGGGTACCCTTATATGTGGCTATCCGAAAAAATGGACCTATATATATATATACATATATATAATTTCCTGTGCAGAGATTTGTTACGTATTAAGAACTCAAAGTACTAAATTACAGCTAATTCGGCGGAAAAATACGATCAAAACCCCCAAAATACTGAAAATTAGGAGGTACCGTTATATAAGAGCTATGAGAAAAAGTGGACCTATATTTGTAGTTTTTTGTGGAGACATTTAGTACCCAATAAGAACCCAATGTACCAAATTTCAAGAACCCCAAAATACCGAAAATATGGGGGTACCCTTATATGGGAGCTATGCCTAAACGTGAACCATCTTCGAACTTGACCTGCCTGCAGACAAAAGACGACTCTATGCAACATTTTGGCGATCTATCTCAATTCGTTTAAAAGCTAGAGTGATTACAACGGATAGACGGACAGACAGATGGGGCTATATCGTCATAGAATTTTACGCTGATCAAGAATATATATACTTTATTGGAGTTACAAACGGAAAAACAAAATTAATATACCATCCATACTATGGTGGAGGGTATAAACATGTATTTGAGTTAACCCTTTCGTTTATTAGTTGCATAAAAAAGCTCCACTATTTCGTTAATAGGCAAACAAACTGACGTTAATTTCAATGAAGGGATATGTGTATTTTTACCAAACATAGGTTTATCCATTTCGTTGTTTCAAAAGTAAACGTAAATAAAATATATCTTAGTATAGCCTTTGCTACGCAAACATGTGCCTCCTCGAAATACTGGTTTTAGACCCCAAATTTCCGCATTTGAGACAATGGATCTGTCTGGTGCGCACGATGTCTCTCGATGTGACAAATAATCAATAATTTATTTGCCTCATATTCACACTATAGAGAAGTACGGATATGATTTTTCAATGTCCTTGTTTATAAATGTCTCCTAACAGCAATAACTAGCCCTAAAACTAATATAAACACTAAAACCAATATAAACACAAAGAACATATATTTGTATATACACATGTGTACATTTATGGTGGATATATTGCTATGTGTATTCAGATAGACTCAGGTGGTTATATGGCAAACCCATATGTATATTTGAACAACAAACAAAAACATTGTAACTCTTTTGTGCTTGCGTTTGTTTTTGTGTCTCTTCTTACAGGTGGTCCAGGAATATGAACGGGCTGTTATCTTTCGTTTAGGTCGTTTGATGCAGGGTGGTGCCAAAGGACCCGGTATGTACAAAAAGTTCTCCCCTTTTGCCTCCCATTTGCAACATTTTATTCCGTTTGTTATTGAGTAATACGATTTTATGGATTTTCTCGTAAAAGCTTACAAATTAAATCTTAATAATTTCATTTTGTTGTCGATTTCATTTCTTAGGTATATTTTTCATACTGCCCTGTATAGATTCATATGCCAGAGTGGATTTACGTACAAGAACATATGATGTACCACCACAAGAGGTAAGTTGAAAACAAGACGGAGAGAGAGAGAGAGAGAACGAGTGGATGTTTGTATTTATTTTTCATGCGAACAATATTCAATATCCAATTGATATAAAAGGGGTAATTTGATTATTTTTTGGGAAGTGAACATGGAATTAAAGGACTTTGTGAGGATTTTAGCTCAGTCAAGGTACATTAAATTGGAAACTATAAATGAGCAAAAAATCGTAGGACAAATTTTATGTTTATAGAACACCAAATTAATAAAATTTTTGTTTTAGATTTAATAATGTTTCAATTAATGAAAATATTAATTGTATGTAAGTGAGAGCTAAGGAACATTTATGAAATGTAATTATTTGATAATTGTTTTGTATAGAAAACAAGTAAGGAAAGAAGTAAAGTCGGGCTGGGTCAACTATATGATACCCTTCACTACTTTGAGTATATTCTACATATGGGTATTCTCATTTTTTAATTCCACTAAAAACAATTGTTTTGATTTGATCTTTATCAATAAATGAACCGACTAACATAAATCCATACAAATGCTTTTCTGCAACCTATGCTAAATTTCAATGGGAGAAATTTGCGTAAATCGATTTATAGCACACTTGATACACACTATTCGATAATATCGATCAGACACCCGTTCGAAATATATAAGGAAGCTATGTCTGCATCTGCACCCATTACAAAAAAAGCGCAATCAATCTAGTCTCAATTGAATACGTTGAGCAAAATTTCGTGTCAATCGGAGGAGTTTGGTGCACAATTTACCTAAAATCGGACGAAAATATATATGTGGCAGATATATCTAAATCTGCATTTTCAGGAAAATTAACACACATAATTCTAGACGTAAGTCAGTACGCTATGTCAAATTTCGTGCAAATCGAAAGAAATGTAGAGGCTTTGGTACACCTTTTACACAAAATCGGTGAGCTATATCTAAATCTGAACCGATTTCCACGAAACTTGGTAGACATGACTCCAGACCCAATTCAGAACGCTGTGCAAAATTTCGTTCAAATCGAAAGATATATAGGTCTTGGGAGCACCATTTACATTAAATCGGACGAAAATATATGTGGGAGCTATATCTAAATCTGAACCGATTTTCACGAAACTTAGCAGACATTATTCTATACTCAATTCAGTACGATATGCCATATTTAGTGCAAATCGAAAGATATATAGGGACTTTAGTGCACCATTTACCTTAAATCGGACGAAAATATTTCTGAGAGCTATATATAAATCTGAACCGATTTTCAGGAAACTTAGCACACATTATTCTAAGCTTATTTCAGTAAGCTATATCAAATCGAAAGATATTTATTTGGTGCACCATTTACATTAAATCGGACGAAAATATATATGGGAGCTATATCTAAATCTGATCCGATTTTCAGGAAACTTAACATACATAATTCTAGACCTAGCACACATCATTATAGACCTAATTCATTACGCTGTGCCAAATTTCGTGGAAATCGAAAGATATTTAGTGAGTTTGGTACACCATTTACCTTAAATCGGACGAAAATATAAATGGGAGCTATATCTAAATCTGAACCGATTTTAAGGAAACTAAACATACATAATTCTAGACCTAATGCATTACGCTGTGCCAAATTTCGTTCAAATCGAATGGTATATAGGGACTTTGGTGGACCATTTACTTTAACTCGGACGAAAATATATATGGGAGCTACATCTAAATCTGAACCAATTTTCAGGAAACTTAACACACATCATTCTAGGCCTAATTCATTACGCTGTGCCAAATTTCGTGCAAATCGAAAGATATATAGGGACCATTTACCTTAAATCGGACGAAACTATATATGGGAACTATATCAAAATCTGAACCGATTTTCTCGAAACTTGGCACACATCATTCTGGAACTATTTCATTACGCTGTGCCAAATTTCGTGCAAATCGAATGATATATAGGGACCATTTACCTTAAATCGGACAAAACTATATATAGGAACTATATAAAAATCTGAACCGATTTTCTCGAAACTTGGCACACATCATTCTGGACCTAATTCAGTACTCTGTGCCAAATTTCGAAAAAATGTATTGGGACTAGGTGCCCCATTTACCTTAAATCGGACGAAAATATATATGGGAGCTATATCTGATATCTGATTTTTCCCAATTTCAATAGGGTCCGTCCTTGGGCCAAATAAGTGACTTGTGCCAAATTTCTTTCAAATCGGACCATAAATGCGACCTGTACTTTGTTTACAATTTAACATCTACAGACGGACGGACGGACATGCATAAATCGACTCAGAAAGTGATTCTATGCATATTCTCAAAAGGAACCATGTGTCTATCTGGTTTCCTTTTGCCTGTTAAAAACATATGCACAAAGACATTATAAAATACTGAAGGGTATAAAAATATTTTTACATTGTCAATATTACGCATTCAAAGAACTGCAGTGAAGCAGAAACATAGGAATACGAAGACAAACACATTTTGTTTATTACTTCTTAACTAGAAAGTTATTCTTACCGTTATTTATGACATTTTGTTCATGTCAATGCAATATGTGCTGCTGCTTCTATATTTACCTGTGATTTCGTTTTTTCTTCTTCTCCTTACTTTCAGGTTTTAACAAAGGACAGTGTTACTGTGTCAGTGGATGCCGTTGTCTACTATCGCGTCTCGAATGCAACAGTCTCCATAGCAAATGTTGAAAATGCACATCATTCGACAAGGCTGCTGGCGCAAACCACTCTTCGCAACACAATGGGCACACAACACTTACACGAAATTCTCAGCGAACGTATGACAATTTCCGACACCATGCAGGTGAGTGAGTAGCTAGCTTATGTATGGATGTATGTATGTTGTTTGTATTGTTTCGGTTGCAGTATTTGTTGCGACTACTAGTTATGGGGTTCAGCCAGGTGTAACTTGAATAGGATAAAATATGTGCCAGCTAAGCTTATTTTCAGTGCCTGCACCGATGTGTATTATTTGGAGCAGAATAAAAACAAGTTGCACGCCGATATGTTTTAACAACAACAATAGCATCAACTTCACACTTTACAATCCGGACAATAAGAAAATGATGACACAAATGCGACAATATTTATTTTCACCGTGCTAAGCAACAAATGTCAGAGTGCATAAATAAAAGTGCATAAATTCTGAAATCATATGAGTTCCCAATCTCCTGTCTGAAAGTGATGGATATCGGTCCAATTTTTATGATACAACCCATTACTCGGTATTTTGGCAAGTTTTTCAACAGAATTGCCTATAATTGAGTACTTTGAATTCTCATTGGATTGTAAATCTCCCTACCAAAACATATCGATATTGGACTGTACTGATGTATGTTCTATATGCCAAAACTCAATATTACCTTCAGTGAACCCCAAATGACTACTTATAGCCCATTCGATCAGCAAATTAGTTCAATAACTTCATTTACTACTTTCATATATCCCCATACATATATATTGGAAATTATCAATTTAGTTTATATAAAACATTAATGTAAAACCAGTGAGCGGAGCAGTATAATCGGACGGGGCCGACCATATGACACCCTACACAACTTCCACGAAAATCTAACTTTGTGTGATTCTATATTCTGAGCTTGGGCAATATTTCGAGATATTTTCACCCTCTTGGCCGACTAGAGGTCAACAAATAATCCAGATTCCCTTCACCGAGTGATGTTTTGTGATGTTCGGCTTTCAATTGTGGCCTATAGATCGACTCGAAAAAGACACAAAAATTAAGTTTTCGGTCCACGTTATCACAAAAATTATTATCTGATCATCACCAAAAATTATAGGCGTTGTCCTTGACCATAACTGTAACCTCATGAAACATTTCAAAGCGATCTGCGCTATATTTCCGCCCTCTAGTGTGGTAATGGGTTACTAAATAATATATGAATACGTAAGCACCTATAAATATTTACGTGTAACTCCCACATCCGAATACATACGACAATATAATAGGTATCAATTTAAGGGTCAACCACTCCTCTTGAACATACTATCAACTTCTCGGGTCTAGGACGTTGAGGTGCAAATATATACCCCATAGAATACAAATTTTGTAATTTTTCACACAAAAGTCAGGGTCCAGTTGACCCGCTAAATATTGACCGATGTTTATCAAAACAGGCATACTTATTCTTCGGGCTGATCTCTTTCCCCGTGCAAAAATTCGCGGTGTTTGGGCCATAATTGCGGCCTCTGAAGCGACCAGAAAATCAGACAAAAATAAAGTTTTTGGTCCATTTCATCCCCTAAATGTTAACCGATCTTTTCCAAAAACAATAGGGATCTTCATTGGCCAGAACCCATCCTACAAGCAAAATTTCGTGAAGATTGGTCTACAACTGTGGCCTGTATCGTGTTTACAAATTATAATGGACAGGCGGACGGACGGACACACATGTCTAGATCGACTCAGCTAGTCGAGATATGATGATCGGTATACTTAAAAGTGGATCTAGGACCAATATTTCGCGGCGTTACAAACTTTTGGGGTTGCATAAAGCTATAATACCCTGACAACATAGTTGTGTAGGGTATAAAAAGGTTTCAATGTCTTGTGTTTAATTTGTTTTTATATTTTTCCCAAATAAATAATCTACTGTAAGAAATTCCCGGTGGAGGGTATACAAATTTCGGTCGCCCTAACAGCGTAACTTTTTAATAAATAATTTTCCGTAAAAACTAAATACTCTCATATTTAACCATTCATCATAAATTAGACGAAGTAATTGTGTCATTGCACTATGGCCGATTTTAGCGGCATAAAATATATCTCGACATGCTAGCTTCACCAAATTTGGGGTGTAGAACACTAATGTTAGAAAAGGTGATTTATGAAAAAATGGGCGGGCCACGCCCCCTGCTGTTGGTTATTTTGACGATATTGGGTTCGTTTTTCAACAGAATTGTCTGTAATTTGGTATTTTAGGTTATCATTGTATAGAGAATCTCCCTACCAAAAATGATCAATATTTTATAAGTTTTTCGGATAGCCCCCATATAACGGTACACCCCATTATTGGGGATTTTGGGCATTTTCTTTAAACAAATTTGTTGTCTTTATGTATTTTAGGTTTTAATTGGGTAGCAAATAAGGTTTGGGAATACCCGACTTTTTTCATTCCCAAGAAATCGGGAATTAAAATTTTTCATTCCCGGGAACCCGGGAATTATTAAGAATTATTTTGATGTTAAGAATTATTTTTTTAAATAAGAATATTTTTGTCAAAACATTAAATTAGGAACTATTTGTACACATAAAACACATATGAACAATTTTTAATTTGTGCATTAAACAGGTTGCCTGATATACTGATTCTTATGTTGATGCAAAAGTTTCCATCAATTGAAAATATTCTCTCACTTTTATAGACTTTTACTCACTTTATATAAAACTTATTTATTTAAAAAAACTACTGTGGCAGGGTTTTGATCTTAAAGGGGTTAACTTTGCAACCATTTTAATTTAATTTCAAAACATCTATACCTTTGGAGTACTTTTATCACTACTAGATGACCAGATTCCACTTCATTGCTACTTTTTTGGCACATCCGTATTCCCCAAACTATCTGGGTCTCTTCAAAACTTCAGTTTATGTATATAAATTTTAAGTCACTTCGGTCACTTAATTCTTTTTGTAATCTCTTTGAAATTGAAGGGTCGATGGATGTTTGTTGATCTTTCAATGTATGGTATGATTCCAGCACAAGGACCCTTCTATAGGACATTAAGAATAAATTTTCTTATGCCGTTCGCTCTATCTGAAACAGTTGCTATAATGTGGGTTTCAAAACATAATTCCAACAATTTTTCTTCAATCATATTCCGAATTTTGAACCTACTTGTTATATAAATCAGTTTTAAAATGAGTATCTTCCACTTAAACATACATTAAAATATCGTCCCTATGTAGTTGTTGTATTATCGATACCAAATAATACCACAGGTGGATCAACGGATCCATTCTAATTATGCCCTTACCATTGTAATATCTAATTCAATATTTATATTGATTTAAAGATATTATTTTCCGATTTCCCGGGAAAAGGTATTGGGAAATCCCGGGAATATCGATTTCAAAAAATCGGGAAATCCCGGGAATACCAGGGAAGGAAATTCCCGACCCCAAACCCTAGTAGCAAATCTTGCAACCAGAAACGATCGATATTGGTCAACTTTTTAAAGTAGTCCCCATATAACGGTACCTCGAAATTTCGGTATTAAGGGGCGTTTTTTAACCAAGTTTGCTGTAATTTTATATTTTGAATTTCCCATTTCTTGGAATGACTGATGTCACAAGTAGGGACGGATCGAAACTATCTGAAATATTTACGAAAAAAATATTTAACCGTATCTCAAAACTATCGTTCAATTCTTCAACATATTCTTCACAATAGTTCATATATAGGTACTTCTAAATACTTTCTCACTTCTGGAAAGTACTCAACTCCAGTATTGAATTTCATAAAAAAACTGTTTTTTAATTTTACGAAAATATTGCTGCTGCAATGGAAAAACGCGTGCTAATTGTAATGTAAACATTAACAGCTTTTTGTACATAAAAAGGGTTGCCAATTGTAAATTTGTTTTTCGATTTTTTCTTATCAATATGTTGAGTACCATCAACAAGTTTAAAAAAAATGTTAAGTTGAAAAAATGACTTTTTGCCGCTAAAATGGTGATTTCACCTATAGTTCATTGTTCGGTTACACCTAGAACCCTGGTAGATGCCGGCAACTCAGGCAGAATTCGCTGCGATACCAGCCCAGATTTCTATCACGTTTCCTTTTATTATTGCATTATCTATTTCCCTTTTTTGTTCTTCCTCTTTGTCGTCTATTTTTTTTACATATATTAAACATAGTATTTCATCTATTTTCAGGTACAATTGGATGAAGCAACCGATGCTTGGGGCATTAAAGTGGAACGTGTTGAAATGTAAGTCACTCAGTCAGACAGTCATTCATTTATTCGTTCGCTTACCGTTCACCTCCTCATGCATAGATCTAAAAGGGAGGAGAGGGCACTGCATGAATATCTTTTTATGTTTTCTATTGAAAATTCTTGTGTCCTGGATGCATTTCCTTCCTGTTTTTTCGGTGCTTTATAACCGACCAGCCAAAAACTAAATAACACCACGACTACAATAGCATGGCAGAAGACAAGAAATCATTTTTATTCTGTCACCAAGACACGTTCTCCATCATCATCATCGTCATCATGTAGCGTTATTGTGGTGGTGGTGGTGATGATGGTTGTGGCAGTTGTTTGTCCATGGACAATTTTTCTTTTTGATGCTGGCCAAATTCAATGCAGTTATTTTTTTTTATTTCGTAAATAAGATTACTATTCCTGTTTCGTATGAATTGTGGCAGGTGTACGAATTCTTAAGAGATTTTTTATTTTTTTCTTTGGCGTTTTTTAGAAAATTTTTGATTTTTCTTTTTTTTTAACGTATACAAATACTGTTCTTAGTGCAGATTTCATTGAATGGATTTTCAAGGCAGTAAACCATTTATCAAAAATACAAAAAGAATCACTTTATATATCTTAAGTATATATTTTTTTATGTAATGTTACAAGGACGAAAAGTAAATTCTATTCTAAGTGCTATGCCGCAAAAAGGTGCTCACAAGTGTGCATTAATAGCCACGTATATTCGTAGAGAAAAATATAAAGGATTTTTGGTAAAGCTATAATTTTGTGCGCTTTAAAATATGTACTATTTGATTCCTTTAATCGTAATGTACTATTTGTGATGTATCGTAACGGTAGGAGTGGATCGATGGGTCTCACCTACGAACTTGATTTAAGTTTGAAAAAACTATTAGATGTGCTTAGTTTTTACCATATCGGACATTCCATACGATTGTTTTAGGATTAACCAACTTTCCAAATGGGGACGTACCAGATGGAATATACTGATGAATGTCATCTTCGGACGTTATCTAAGGTTAGTAAAAATATTACGATTTGTAAATATTGGGCCAAATCGGACCTTCCATTTTTTTATGAAAATTGAAGGTACTAGAAAGAGTGAACCGATAAGTCAACATAAACGCTTTTTTCAAATCGGATGATACGTTCTCAATAAAAAACTAATTGTTGTTCGTTAGTCTCGCTAAAACTCGAGAACAGCTGAACGGATTTATCTGATCTTAGTCTTGAAATGTTCGTGGAGGTCTAGAGAAGGTTTAAAAGGTGAGAAATAATTGAAAACCGCGAAAATTTTGCAAAAAATATTTTGCAGCCTATTTGTATTTCCACGAATTTAGTATCGAGCTATTTGGATAGCACCACGTCGTAGTTGTTATTTTGAGATATTTTGGGCGAAAATTTTCAATTATTGAAAAATTTCAAACTTCGGTCCTTGGAGCAACACAAATGTTGCCAGACCACTTATCGTTCTGAGCCATCAACACACTTCCAAAACGGTTGCGCACGAACATGTGTATACCATGGAAGCAATTGTAGGTGTGTGGATTAATTATCCATCGCTACAAAAAAAAAAAAATCTGCTTTGAAAAGGACGGTTTCTAAAATGAAAGACAAATGTCGAACTTTGACAAATTTGAATTTAATTCGCATATGCAAGTTTCGTATCAGGGCGGAATAAATACAAGTTATCAGCTTACTACATTTGTAAAACCACATAGCCCAATATGCCTGATGAGCCGCTTAACCAACGGCGAAAGGCGTTGCATAATGGTGGGTACGTATGTGCTTCTCCTGGCTTTCCTTTTCATTGCAAAACTTCGATCATTAAGCTCGATGATTTCCAATGATCACTGCCCTGACAATTCAAAATTCAAATAACAAAAATTTGCAAAATATTCAATTTGTTTTCAATTGAATTGACATTGTATTGAAATTTTTTTTGGGGCAATACAAAAATAATTGAGAATTATATCATTGAAAGTACACGCGATCATTGTATGTATACGTTTTCCATAGAATGCACGTACATTTTGGGACTAATGCAAAGATGGAAAATCAGAAGACATTCTGAATCGACTTCGTGTCCATTCATGGTATTCTGATTCTAAGGTCCATGCCTTAGATTAATTTGTTTTTTTAACTAACAATAATAGGAACCTGTTCATTAAAGTACCACGGAAAATATCAAATCAGGCGGTTATATGCCTAATCGTTGTTCAATATCTTTGAACATATAAACAGAACACGAAATATTTTCTTTGAAAAAATCTATCATTCAGCTCAGCTGGAATGAGAACAATTAACAAAAAACCAGCAATATTAGAAAAAATATCCAAGGCGTAATATTTAATTTGAAGGTTATACCAAAACCTCCGTCCGATGTTACCTATTCGTACTGAACATGCTAGCTACCGATAACACTCAGGTTGGAAGACGGGGGTAAAAACTTCAACATGCCGAAAATTGAAGTGGAAATAATTATGGCGTCTTTTGAAAACGTTAAGCTGTAGTGCATAATTTCTGAAATGATGAGAAAATTCGGTCAAAGACTTTATAATACCGAAAATAAGGCGGGGCCAGTATGTAGATGCTATATAAAAACTTGGACATAAGTAGATACTTTTTCCTAAAAAAATGTGTCATGCTGACCAAATAAAACAACCAATTACAGCTGATTAGGTTGGAAACCATGTCCAAATCCCCAGAGCATCGTATAATGTGGAGTTCCATTATATGGAGACTTCTCGGAAGCTTGGGCAAATTTTGTTAGGAACATTTTCTAATCAAATATCATCCAAAATGCAAATTATAGACGAATACCGAATATTAAGGGGTTACCTGGATATTTGGATTTTAATTAAAGATATTTTCTGCTCAATAAGTATCCTCTATATTAAATTAAAACCAGTGAGCGGAGCAGTATAGTCTGACGGGACCGACCATACGATACCCTACACAACTACCACGGAAATCAAACTTTCTGCGGATATTTGCACCCTCTTGCCCGATTAGAGGTAAACAGCACATCTTCCTTACACTGACATATTTTCCGAATATTACGAGTATTCAGTACAGCTATTGTCCCGATTCCTTTCATCGTGGGTTGTGTTGTGATGTTCGGCTTTCATTTGCGGTCTATAGAGTGATAATGGGTTACTAAATAATATACGAATACGGTGATACATTTAAATATTTACGTGTAACTCCCACATCCGAGTACATACGACCATATAATTGGTATGAATTTAAAGGTATATAATTGGTATGAATTTAAAAGTATAGTCTGACGGGACCGACCATACGATACCCTACACAACTACCACGGAAATCAAACTTTCTGCGGATGACTACTCCGAGCCTGGGCAATATTTCGTGATATTTGCACCCTCTTGCCCGATTAGAGGTAAACAGCACATCTTCCTTACACTGACATATTTTCCGAATATTACGAGTATTCACTACAGCTATTGTCCCGATTCCTTTCATCGTGGGTTGTGTTGTGATGTTCGGCTTTCATTTGCGGTCTATAGAGTGATAATGGGTTACTAAATAATATACGAATACGGTGATACATTTAAATATTTACGTGTAACTCCCACATCCGAGTACATACGACCATATAATTGGTATGAATTTAAAGGTGAACCACTCCTCTTGGATATAATATCAACTTCTCGGATCTATGTCCTTCAGGGGTAAATATATACGCTATAGAATACAATTTTTTTAATTTTTCACACAAAAGTCAGGGTCCATTTGACCCGCTAAATATAGACCGATCTTTATCAAAACAGGCATGCTTATTCTTTGGCCCGATTCTTTCTCCATGCAAAATTTCACGATATTCGGGGCATTATTGCGGCCTCCGGAGCGACCAGAAAAACTGACAAAAATGTAGTATTTGGTCCATTTCATCCCCTAAATATTAACCGATCTTTCCCAAATACAATAGGGGTCTTCATTGGCCAGAACCCATCGTACATGCAAAATTTCGTGAAGATTGGTCCATAACTGTGGCCTGTATCGTGTTTACAAATTATAATGGACGATCGGTATACTTAAAGGTGGGTGGCGTTACAAACTTTTGGGGCTGCACAAAGCTATAATACCCTGACACAGACAGACGGACATTTTTTAATCGACTCCAAATTGTCTGAAACGGATTTGGTGCAAAAAAAAATATAGCATTGCGTCTAAATATATCGATGCAATATATACCCTCATTATACCCCAAACAACTATGTTATTTAGTGTGTCCGATAATTTTTAGAACTTTATACTCGTTCGTATTTATCCTTCGCCACCTTTCTTGGCGATTTACCGAAAGAATATCCTTTGACACCCACTGGATGACATCAATTTATTATTATTTTTTTAAATAAACGATTCTAACTAATTTAGACATCCGTCGTTCACACTGCAACAGCGATAATGGATAATGCCATGGAATTTGTATTTACCGTGACCTCAAACCATTTTAACAGTCCACTTTCAACACACACACACACACACAAACACAAAATTTACAACATAACCTCAGGCATTCAAATGAACACCGAACGAACGACCTTTCTGACCTCCATCCCGACAATGAAATGAAAGTTTATAAGTGCCTAACCCTGTTTGTGTAAATGCGTTGCGCTTGCTGGCTGACTGACTGACAGGAGGAGAGGTGGTACTACTACTGTTTGGGTGACCCTTTCAATCTAAAGTAACCACTTAAGGCAAGCCAAATCAAAAAAGCACCGAAATTGTATGCCAAGTGCAACACAGCGAACATCGTTTATGGTTTGCATGACTATGTGATTTGTACAGTGGGCGATGGAGATGTGGAGAATAAAATAAAAATTCACATTTGTATTTCAATGTCATTCTAAGCTGTTAATCTCTTGTCATTTTTTAACCATAAGCATGGTTTCATGAAATTTTACCAAACCATTTAAAAACATAATTGAATAATAAATAATAACTAAAAGATTTTCCTTTAACTATTATGTGAT